TGTGGATCCAAGTAAAATGAAATCCTTGACAACTTCAGTCTTTTCTCCGTTTATTATGATGTTGCTTATTGGTCCAGTTGTGAGGATTTTTGTTTTCTTTGGGACTAAGGGGTGTAAAAAATTTTAGAACGGAATATGTTCCTGTTCATTTATCTAATGGTTTTGTTTTCTTTTTCTTCTTTTGGTGGTGGTTCCTATTGTTCTCCAAATGTGTTTGGAAATACCAGGCTGCCTTGATGTTAGAATTATAATGGGTTTAGTACCCTGGTTCCCACAGAGCCTCCCGCAGCCAAGAAGCAAAGACAATGCAGTTTAGTCTTTGGGTGCTTGTGCAAGGATTCCCAGACCATTCGGTAGTGGGCAGTAGTATGAATATAAACATAGTATACTTCAAAGCAAGTTAGAGTCTGTGTAGTATAGTATAGTGCTGCTTCAAAACCAATTAGTGTAGCAGGAGTTTTGGAGATACTGTGTTTTCATGAAATACATATCTTTCTTTTAAAAATTTCATCTAAGGTTTTCTCCTTTTAAAATTTATGCCTGGAATATATCTGTATGTGTGTGTGTGTATATGTATATAGATATAGTTTTAAACAGTGAAACTCATGTCATCTAAAAATTGACATTTTAGGGTCATATGATCATACTGTAAAGATGTTTGATACACGAACCAATGAGAGTGTTATCTCTGTGGAGCACGGGCAGCCAGTCGAGAGTGTCCTGCTTTTTCCCTCTGGAGGTCTTCTAGTGTCAGCAGGTATGTGTTTTAAAAATTGCTTTCACCGATATTGTTAGGCGTGAATCAAATATTTCTGTATCAGTTGCTGTGTATAATTTTGTCAGCATATACATGCATTGCATATCTAAGTTTTTGCTCAGACAGTTGATAAAAGAGGTAGGCAGGTAGTTATTTATTGAGTATCTAATGTGAGCCAGACACTGTGCTGTTATATAAATATTAGGTCTAATGCCCCACCTCATTCTTCACAATTTTCTCCCTGTTTTATAGCTAAGGAAATAAATAAAAGTTATAACTAATTTGTCCAAGGCAAAGCTCATAGATGGCAGACTGAAATCCCAGAACTTAAAAACTTTGATTGTGTCTATAACCCTGTGCCATCTTGTTTGACCCTGGAAATCTAGGTCTTATTCCTTGGTTATTCCTACGTAAGAGATCTGTGGGAGCTTTTAAAAATACAGGCTCTTACAGACCTAGAGTCAGGGTTGTCTCTTATATGGCTCTCTTGATTAAAATGGCCTTAATGAGCATATAGCTAATATTACTGGAGAAAGAATGTGGAGTCACAAGGGGCTTTGATACATTTTTTACATCATTGAAACTGTGTGGTGGTTTGTTGTTTTTTTTTTTGTTATGCTGGCCTAGTGCATTTTCATAATTATAATGGAAGAAATAAATGGCTTTCTGTCAGTAAAGCCACGATTAATATGTTGACATTTGAAGAATTTGTAGGTAATATGTATACTTGATAGCATATATATAGCTGTGTGTGTATCTTTTTTATTTTTAGCTTAATTCTAAGATTCAAGTAGAAATTATCCTGTTTTACACTGTTTTCCCAGTACCTATATGATTTAAAAATAAGTTGATCACTTTGTCAGATATATCCATTTTGAGAAAGGGAATATAATCAAGTTAAACAGGGAAAATCGAAACCTGTATGCTGACCTCTGCTGTGCTACTTGCTAAACTGGGCAATCCGTTGACTTCTCTAGAACTTGAAAATGAGTGGTTGGACTAGGTCTGTGGTTTCATACTCTGATCCCTCTCCTGAGCTTCCACACGTGCCTGGGGTCTGTGAATTGGAGTCTAGACCCTATTCCCCAACCAGGAGAGATCTTCAACTTGAATAAGAACAAACTTAACTTCTCCCTCCACACCTTTTCCTGCTTTACCTGCTAGGCTTTTGTTTAAGATTTTGTTGAAAGAAAAGACACTGTGTTAAAAACTTTTTAAAATACCAAATTAAATTACTTCTAAGTATCCTTCCAACTCTTAGGTTAACAGTTATAGGAAAGTTTTTCCAGTTTTGTTGAGATTCACAAAATTTTTAGGAAATACTACTTTATTCATTTCCGTGGTTATAACAAAATTCCTTTTAAAGAATGATTTTATTATAACTTTCTCAAAATATTTTTGGTTATACTTTTTATTTTGTTAGACACTTCTGTGCACTTTACAAATATGAAAGTATTTAATCACCCTAACAGCCCTGTGAGATGGGTGCTGTTGATATCAGTCACACAGCTAGCAAGTGGTAGAGCCAGGATTTAAACCAGGCGGTCTACCTCTGGATTCCCTTACTTACCCCTACACTATGGAGTGTCCAGTGCAGAATGCTTTTCAGAGAACTGAAAATTTGAATTGATTGAGTATCAAACTAATGATTGCTTCTTATTATAGGAGGTCGTTATGTTAAAGTCTGGGACATATTAAAAGGAGGACAGTTGTTAGTGTCTCTGAAAAATCATCACAAAACTGTGACGTGTTTATGTTTGAGCAGCTCCGGACAGAGGTTACTCTCTGGCTCACTGGATAGGTGAGTATTTTAATTTTCTTTGTTCATCATTATTAGTGTGTAAGTGTTTACTATTTGAGGAAATGAGTTAGGTCAGCAGTATTTGTGATAAAATAAATATTCTGCTAAATGATTTCCATAAATGAAAAAATCTGTAGAGTTGAGAAAAAGTTTTGATCTTTTATTTGCTTATAGCCAATTTATTTTTTCCCTTGACAGTTTATTACTTACATTTACATTGTTAAGCAATTTTATTGAACCACTTGAGTATTAATCTCTTAGTTTATATTATTATATATAGTTTCTTTGAAAATCATTATTGTATGTTCATATATTTTGAAATATTTGTAATAAGTATATGTATATATTCTATTACACTTTAAAGTTTTAAACTTTATGTCAAAATTTCTCCACATTAATGTGGTCCAGACATTTCTGTTTTAATAGGTACTTAATATTTCATTAGTTAATGTTCTACAGCAGTGCCGTCCAGTAGAAATATAATATAAGCCTCATATGTCATTTTAAATGTTTTAGTAGCGGCATTAAAAAAGGTAAAAAGAACTAGGTCAAATTAATTTAATAACATATCTTATTTAGCCCATGATATCTAAATGTTTTCATTTCAACTTGTAATCAATATAAAAATTATTAACAAGATACTAGAAACAAGTTAAGCATTTAATACATGCACTGTGATACAATAATATCTTACAAAGTGAGGTATAGTCCCACCAAAACAATAAAACTGTGTTTAAATAGAACAGTATTTTACACTGCCTCAGTTATTAAATTTAAGTTAATTAGAATAAAATAGAAACCTTAGCTCCTCATTTTCCTTAGCCACACTTCAAGTGCTCAGTAGCCACACGTGGCTAGTGGCTGCCATATTGTACAGTGCAGTTCTAGAATTTACTTATACTCATCTGTTGTTGGTCATTTTATTTCATATTTCATTTTTTCACTATTATGAAAAGCCTTGGTTTTTAGCATGCTTATTAAAATGTTTACATATTTTAAAAGCTAGAAAATATTTTTCTTTTTTTTCAAAATTTTTATAAAAAAACATTTTGTACTTTAGATGAAAGTTTACAGAGCAAACTAGTTTCTCATTAAACAAGTAATACGTATTGTTTTGTAACATGGGTTGCCAACCCCACGACTTATCAACACCCTCCCTTCTCGACCTTGAGTTCCCCATTACCAGCTGTCCTGTCTGCTCCTGCCTTCTTGTCCTTGCCCCTGGGCTGATGTACCCATTTAGTTTCATTTTGTTTTATGGGTCTGTCTAATCTTTGGCTGAAGGGTGAACCTCAGGATAGAAAATATTTTTAATACAAAGGAAACTCTTATGTAAATATATGGCAAATTCTCTGGAATAGTATTACTAAGCAATTTAGGATTTGATTTCTAGATGTGTCCCTAAAAAGCTAAGTGTTAGCTGACTCTATTTGCAGTGGTTCTCAACCTGGAGTGATCTTACCCCCCAGGGGACGTTTGGCAATGTCTAGAGACATTTTTGGTTGTCACAACTTGGGGGCAGGTGCTATTGGCACCTAGTGGGTAGAGGACAAGGATGCTGCTAACCATCCCATAGTGATCAACCCACCACAACAAAGAATTGCCCAGCCCAAAATGTCAATAGTGCCAAGGTTTGGAAACCCTGCCCTTTTGACTTCCAGTGTACTTTCATTAATACTTTCTCTTTACTTGCAAGTTTTATCTTCAGATGCCAATGATTCATTGTCTAGCCTTCTGTTTTATTTTTTAAGTGGTTAAGTTTTTATATAAATGTTATGGCTAGTGCTTATACACAGTTCATTTTTTAAGGGATTCAGTTTGTAATTAGCATTACTGATTGTTGTTAACTGTGTGTAAATTTTAATATTTATATGTTGATTTTTCAAAAAAGAGGAACTTTGTATTTTATACTTATTTCCAAGATGATTTGTGACAAAGCTTTCTTTTTTATTAGAAAGGTGAAAGTATACAGCACAGCTTCCTACAAAGTAGTCCACAGTTTTGATTATGCAGCTTCAATTTTGAGTCTTGCACTTGCAGTAAGTACTTTTAGCTCTTCTTAAAGTGTTCCCTAAGCTTGCCTATTAAATTAAAATAAAATGGAATTTTGGAGTTTATGTTTTGGATTTTAATAAGTCCTTTTCTTCTTGCCACATTGGAAGTTTGCGTTAACACGATTGCTAGAATATGTGACTCCTCCTAATAACTTAGCATGAATTCAGATGTAGGTCCCACTCACTGTATAGCTTCCAGCTAAGTACAGTGCTAACACTAAATTCAAGATCTCGTAAATTGATACATCTCTCTTTAACACATTTCATCAAGGGTATTATAATACTTTAGAAAGGCAAGTTGGCTCTGCAAGAATAAGAATAATAATAATAAGGGACGAGGGCAACAAAATGAAATATCTCTGGTTTTCGTTGACTGTTCTTTCTGGATTGTCCACTTTCAAGTTTCATGAGGAGCCGTATTTGAGGAGGAAAGCATTTGAATACATTATGTAGAAATCTGTACTGGGAGATTTTTCCAAAATATTTTCTTAGCAAGATTGTGGAAGGTCATGCCACCCTGTAATCCTTTTTCTAATAAGAGAATGCAGAAAATTTTATTTTGAAACTGTCCCAAGATACCATTAACTATATTGTTATTATACAAATTTTGCCAGTGATACTTTACATCAAGTATAATAATTTCTGTCAAGATAATGGTATCCTAGTGTCCAAAAATAATGATTTTGCTCTTTTTGTCACAGATAATTGTTAGGCAGGGTATCTATTTCTGAATGGAACTGTTGCTGAAAGTATGGATAAGGAGCAAACGTTATAAACGTTATTTGGAGAAAAAGTACTATAAGTTATGAGTTAGGAATAGACTAACTTATTTTTCTAACTGCAGCATGAAGATGAGACGATAGTTGTAGGAATGACCAATGGAATACTGAGCGTTAAACATCGGAAATCTGAAGCAAAGAAGGATGCTTCTTCCAGGAGACGAAGGCCTGCATATCGAACCTTTATTAAAGGAAAAAATTACATGAAGCAACGGGTATTTGTGTATTTCTGTCTTTTTTTTTAAAGGTGAAATTGTTAGTCAACTCCATCTTTAACATTACTGAAAAGTGTAGTTCGGGTGGTGTTTAACTTTGTTTTACTTTCCTCTACCTCAGAGTTATCTCTAGATTGCTAGATGTTGTTGTTGTTAGGTGCCATCGAGTAGATTCCAACTCATCGCCACCCTATGTACAACAGAACGAAACGCTGCCTGGTCCTGTGCCATCCTCACAATTGTTGTTATGCTTGAGCATGTTGTAATGGGTAACAAAGACTCCTTTTTTTAATACCCTGAATCATAGTATAATATTATAGTACTTTACCATATTCATAACAATATCTTTCACACACTATCTGTTTTGATGTTCTAAACAACCCTGGAAATTAGTAGAGCCAGATTGCCCCTATTTGGCATCTGAGAGATTGAGATGTATCCAGGATTGCATTACTGGTAGCAAGAGTTGTTGGGACTAGATTGCATTAGTTTTAGTTCTGTTTTTACTAACTCACATTGCCTGCCATGTAAAGAGAATTAAAAGGAGGAATTTTTGTCTAGAATTGTGTTATTGTGGGTGTGTTATAAGTTAAAATCATAGGCAAGTAAGAACATTGATGTGTTTGCTTCTTCCCATTTGCATTTAACCTACGTAATGGGCATAAGAACATTATTTATGACATAGTTCAGGGACACCTTAATTTAAAAATATCTATATACCACTATGAAAATGTTAACATTGAATGGAACTTTATACTGATTTTGATTTTTCTCTTGTATAAATTTACTTTTCAATATAGGATGACATTTCAGTCAGTAGGCCATCAAAAAAACACCTGGAATTGTATGACAGGGATCTAAAAAATTTTCGGATCTCTAAGGCACTTGACAGAGTCTTTGAGGTGGGTGAGAAGCATATTTTTTAAAAACTTGTTTTATTATTTGTCTTATGCATTACCGTGCCTTGAGACTGTGAAGACAAAAACCTGTTCAAACTTAGTAATTGTTAGTAGTGAGTTCTAAGGCTGATTTTTTCTTTTGCTGTCTTGTTTGCTCATGTTGATTTTTTTAAAAAAATTTATAGCCCGAAATTACAATAAAGACACCTGAGATTACAGTTTCCATCATAAAGGAGCTAAATCGAAGAGGAGTCCTTGCAAATGCTCTTGCAGGCCGGGATGAAAAGGAACTCAGTCGTATTCTTAATTTTTTGATAAGGTATGTTTTATGTTCCGTGAAACACTTGGGTTTTGTATCTGAAATCCTTTATTAGCAAATGAGAAACATTTGCTTTTTAGTTTGATCTTTATAGAGAGCTGGTGGAATAGGTAAATCTATTTTAAGAATTTCAATAACATTTGCAAGTTTTAATAAACAGAATTTTTTCTTTGTAGGAATCTGTCTCAGCCGAGATTTGCTCCTGTTTTGATAAATGTTGCTGAAATGATTATTGGTAAGTAGTTAAAACTTGAAAATACTAATATGCTTGTAAAAGTAGAAATGTAAAATAATATGTAATCAACAACAACAATAAACAGATGTAGTTTAAAAGACAGTAAAATGGTGGCACTTTGAGTTAGTGGGACTAGAGATATTACATATTTTTAAAAAGTTTTTAAACATTTATGATGGTCATGCCAATTTTTTTAATGAGAGAATAAAAACAAGACAAAATCTCCACCGGGTACTTTCTGTAATTAATTACTTTTTTGAACTATCCGTTCAGATGGATTGTTATGCTTCCATATAAATTATACATTGATTATAAAATGAGTAGACTTTTCAATATCTTTATATAGAATATTTGTATACTTTTTCTAAATAATACTTTTCACTTATTGTATAGAAAGATGTTTCTAATTAATATATTTTCTCTCTTTCTAGATATATATCTGCCTGTGATTGGTCAGTCACCTGTAGTGGATAAAAAGTTTTTGTTACTTCAGGGACTTGTAGAAAAAGAGATTGATTACCAAAGAGAACTGCTAGAAACCTTGGGGATGATGGAAATGCTTTTTGCTACCACAACAACAAAAGAAAGCACTTTTACATTGGAACATAAATCTGATAGATTTCTAGAAAACAAGAAGATAGAATCATAGTGCCTGCTGAATACCATAAGAACTGACGTGAAATAGATTTAACTCTATTAACTATTGGAAAGAGAATCTCTTTGATACATTAAAAGAACTATTTACAGAGTAATTTTATGGAAGAGACTGGAATGATTATGATTGGAAAATTAGTACCTGTTTTAAGACATGATGTTCCATGTAATATTTTGAATTTTTTATAACATCTTCAGCTGGAAGATCTCAGTTGTTTTGATCACTGTTATGTTCACCTTGGATGAGTTGGTATTAATTTTAATACAGTAAAGTTCTGTGTCAAAATCTTGAGTAAGCATTCAGATGGGAGTTCAGATTTGAACCCTTTCTGGAGAAGGCTTCAACTGGAAATTCTGCCAAAGGAATAGGGCTGTATTTATTTATTTTTTTTGACTTCTGTCCTGGAAAAAAAACAAACGAGAAGCAAAACAAACAGCAACAACAAAAAAATTCCTTTATTCACTCTCATCAGCACCCTTGGGATTTCTAGGCCCCTGCTGAGAGCTTGTCCCTCCTCCGCTCTTGATGTCAGTCACTTGTCTAGGTCACATGCTCTGTTGGAGCTGGTAATAGAGCTGTATCCTTTTCTAAGTGTGGGAAATCAATGGCCAGCTCTGAATAATTGACAATAACTGGACATGTGCTTAGAGAGTGTGATGACGCGGGGCTGGTACTTAAAAATTGTGCTTTCCATCCCAGGTGCGTGGGTGTTTTTAATTTCTTGAACCTTGACTCTCTTTGTTCTGTGGGCTTATTGGTCCACTTTTTTCTTCTTCCCTAAAATCTACAGCATTTCTGTCAGGTTTTCAACTTACTTCAGGCCAGGGGAATGATAACATTTGCCATTTCTCTTTATAATGCAGTGAAACCTGAGAGAGCTGGAGCTTGATGCGAGTACCTTGTTTTTTCAGGTCTCAGAAGTTTTCTGCTTTTGACAGGGTGCGGTCTTACCACTTTTCTGTCACTCTGTATTAGGGGAAAATATTTGAATTTTCTTCTCTGATAGGTTTCCATCTTACACAGGTTCTGGCTTTCGCAGGTTTTTACTGTAATTAGCCTTTCATACATATGCTTGGAGCTTATCTTTTAGCTACCTGCTACCTCTTTAAAAACCATTTTCTCTGATCTGCTTTTAGATATTTCTCTATTCTTCACAGTCATCCTGTGTTTCAAAACCCCAGACCAGAGTAACTTTGAAAAATGGTTGTGTTTTTTAAAATTTCAATGTTAATCACATTTTTTATAAAGAGATTAATATTTTCTTTTTGGCTCTCTGAGATATATCAATTCCTGATCGATATATTCACAGGCTACTGTCTCCTAACACATTTGTTTCACAGTTGCTACCTCTCCTATCTTGCCCCAGTTCTTATCCCATAGCTAGTAATTATCAGTAAGGAAATATGTCTCAAGCTGACAGAACCCTTTGTTAGCGGAAGGTTTTGTAATGGGAATCTCAAGATTTAAATTCTGTAAATCAAGATTTTTTTCTTAAGTAGGGGGAAAGTGGGATACATATATTCTAGTAATGACATATACTCAAAGACAGGGTCTAGTTTGCCTTTCATGAACTGATTTAAGCATAAGAAGGAGGGATGTTGTTGGGAAGCAATCATAGGGCATTTGTAAGAAATCAGGAGCTTGCTGCCCTGAGTATGGGATTAGTCAGGGTCAGAAGCTGTATCTTCAGGTTAAGAAAAGGTTAATTTATTTAAATAAGATTTCTAAATTTAACTTCATAGGTATGCTGATAACTTGCATACTAGTAAATTCTATACCTAGTAAATTCATAGTAGTTGAAATTCTATCTGAAACTAGCTGCCATTGATTGTGTACCATATAACAAGGATTTCCCAGTATCTTATTTTATTTGATTCTCACCACAACCATCCTAGGTTGGTCTTGTTCTCATTTAACATTGCATTCCCTAAAGTAGTTACTGACTCTTCAAGTCCCCAAGCCTGCGTACTTCATCATCCCAGCACTCAGAACTGCCTGCCTGCGATCTAAACTACTCGTTCCCTTTAATAAAACTTCACTGAGTGCTGCAGTTCTCAAGTGAAATATGTAATGGCTACAAATTTTCAAAAAGGCTAGGAGACAATTCCTATAGTCACCAATACTTTCGTGTTACATTGAGGAATGGTTTTTATACACAAACTATGTAGTATTTGCACTTTGAAGTATTTAAACAGATGGCATATTACAGTATGTGACATTGGCCTTAAAATTCTAATTTAAAATGCTTAACATTTTCAGACTTGTGGTTTATAGTTAAAAGGTATTTTAAAATGTTAATGAGCCTGCAGAAATATTGGAATGTCTCGAAGAACTTAGAAAGTCACTGTATGTTTAATTTATTATATTTGTAAGAGTTAAGCACTTGGGGAAGTTTTGCTTGTTGGGTCAAGAATTTGAAGTGCTGCTTAAAAGAAAATCAAATACCTTAAATGTATAAATGCTGTTAAATTGTTTAAAAGAATTTGAATTGTAAATGGTACTGCTTAAAAAAATTTTACTCTGTTCAACTTAAGTGAACTTTATCAAATATTAAAGACCCCTTGAAAGTGGTTATTAAAATGTTCTAGATTTCTAAATGGAATATTTGTAAGTCCAATTTAAAAGCTTAAGGAAAGTTAAGTTTTACAATGCTTAGCTTTCATAAATACAGTCTTTCCTATGAACACAATGCCCTTTCAGACATTAAAAAATACTCTCATTGGTAAGTACTAGGCTACATGCCTATTCCCCAGCCATAGCTGACTGGACCAGGGCTGGGACACCCGATTCAACTCTTCTCTAAACAGCAATTTGTAATCGGGACTTATAATCAAATTTCTTGATCTGGGGAAAGGTGGGTAGCTGAAAACAGGCCAGCCCTGAATATAAACCTTTTGATAGTTTCCCTAGCCTTGGCGCAGAGAGAGGGTGGAAGGGAGATTGGAACGAAAAGCCTGAGGTTTTCCTCAAGAGAAACCTTAGCTTTGGGGAGGTTGAACACAGACTGGTCTAGTGGGACTGTGGAAAGACTATTCCCAGTAGCTTCCTGTGATGGAATGAAGCAAATCCCAGCATATCAAGTTCTTTCTAGCTGCTGTTTGCCTTGCCTAAGAGTCAACCTGTAATGTTTTATCTCCTAGCAGTCCCCAACACGATCTCTATGCTTTGACCAAGGTAGATTAGTCTTCAAAATTAATTAGATTCTAATTTTAATTAACAAAATAGTTTTGATTAGATAATATATGTACAGGACATAAAATTCAAAAGTACAAAGTAGACGTGTTAAATCTGTCATCCCTACCCTAGCCACCCAGCCACCTCTCTGGAGTCATTTACAAACATATGTATGTATATCCTTTCCCCCGTCCCCCCATGAGTGGAAATCAACTCAACGGCATAGAGTATGGTTTCGTTTTTTATATGTACACCACTCTTCAGATTGCTTTGAAAAAAAAAAAGTAATAACCTAGCTACTGGTGCATATCAGTGCATATAGAGCTGCTGCTTGTAAAATTCACATGCATTGTAAAATTTCTCAAACAGTACAAAAGAATATACAATGAAAAGGAAACCTTCATTTTTCCCAGATGTCAGCACACTTTCTCCAAAGGTAAACATTATGATCATTTTCTTACATGTCTGTAATAGTCAAAGTTTAGGAACAGATATCATTCTAGGAAGCCTAAGCAGACAAGAATTTAACACAGGGAATTAGGCCTTACAAAATCATTGTTAGGCTGGAAGGGGGAATCAGGGCTGCAAATGGAGCTACAGAGTTCAAGAGCACAGCTTGCAGTGTAACTGAGCTCTAGAGAGACAAACACCTCTACTGCTGGACCATGAAGCTGGTGAATAGACACTGGAGCGCTGGGTCAAGTCACTACAATCGCCTCTCTCATCTTGACTTGCTTGCCAACAATAATAAGCCGGAAGTGGGTCTTCACTCCTGCCTTCCAGGTCACAGGTGAGTAGATCTAATTGGAGGAGCCTAACTTTGCATCCTGGAGTCCCTGGGTGGTGCAAATGGATAACGGGCTTGGCTGCTAACTGAAAGGTTGGAGGTTTGAGTCCACCCAGAGGCACCTCGAAAGAAAGCCCTGGCGATCTACTTCTGAAAAATCAACCACTGAAAACCCTGTGGAGCACGATTCTACCCTGACATACAAGGGGTCACCATAAGTCAGACTGGACTTTACAGCAGCTGATTTTAATTTTTCATCGAGAGCACTGTCTGCAAAGGAATCCGGGAAATTCGGTTTTTAGTTTCTCAGCTCTGCAGTTCCTGAAGGCACCTTAAAAGGAGGGTGGAGCAGAGGGTAAGCAAGCCAATCCACACAATATTCTTCCCCTGATTTTCTGTATATACTTAAGTACATACACATAGAGCCTCATCATCCCAGCACTCAGAACTGCTGGCCTGCGACCTAAACTACTCATTCCCTTTAACAAAACTTCACTGCGTGCTGCAGTTCTTAAATGAGGTATGTAATGACTACAGATTTTCAAAAAGGCTAGAAAACAATTCCTATAGACACCAATACTTTTGTGTTACGTTGAGAAATGGTTTTTATTCACACTGGGACAAGCTATGTGGTATTTGCACTTTGAAGTGCAGAGGGGAACATGCTGCTTGCTGTTTTCCATTTCAGTTTTTCCGCTTACAATGTGTTAGAGATTGCTCCCTCTCAGTGCGTATGGTTCCACATCGTTCTTTTTTATGGTGTATAAAAAACCCACTGCTGTCAAACTGATTCTGACTCACCATGACCCTATAGGACAGAGTGGAACTGCCCCTTAGGGTTTCCAAGGAACAGCTGGTGGATTTGAACTGCCTACCTTTTGGTTAGCAACCAAGCTCTTTACCACTGCACCACCAGGCCTCCTTATGGTGTACAGATGCACCATAATCAATTTAACCAATCCCCTATTGATGGGTGTCATGGATTGAGTTGTGTCCCCCAAAAATATCTGTCAGTTTGGCTGAGTCATGATTCCCAGTATTGTATGATTGTGTTATCTCATGTGATTTCCTTATGTGTTGTAAACTGTATCACTATGATGAGATTACATGTGATCTCCTTACGTGTTGTAAA